AAGCAAGTTATCACGGCGGTACGTCGCTGCTGATTGATTCGGCTCCAGTGCGCGAGTTTGCTGTATTCTGGATGATCGCTTTCAAATGCACTCTTCATGGATGATAGACTCAAGAGTGGTTGAGCCCGATATCCATGGCTGAAGGTCAACCAGGAGCCTTCAGCCAGTCATCTCGAAGCCGTTGGACGAAAAGACGGCTCAGACGACTTCTCCTTCAAGTCGGTGTGTGCTGGAAGTGCCGTCGGCCGGTTACCCTTCTAGTCTGCAACGTGCGTGCTCACATCCAAGGCGACCGAAGATAGAAATTTGATGGATAACAGAAACCGTCGATCGAATATTTCCGGGTAACATGTGTCGCTCGATTTTATGGGTCCTATACCATTCGTCTTAAATGATTGCCTTAACCAGATTCTCGAATATGCACACGTGTGTTATCTCGGGATGAACTCATACTGGTACGAGATGCCTCGACGGACATTGATGGCGGCCACTCTCGTGCGCTTGGTCGAAAGTGCGGCCCAAACGGGCAGAAATTGTCGATAAGTTCAAGAGCCCTACCGTTTGTCAGTACCGCTTGCAAAATGGGTTTGAGATCACTATTGAGGGACGCTTAGGCAGGTTTTGGGTTGGTCCTTCCTAATTCGCCAACACTAGTACTAGCAGACGTAAGTAAAACAAGTAAACGTAAACAATTACAGGCTTAGTGCCTCTAAAAATCTTAGTTAACATGAAATCAATGTTCATATTTTCAGTCCACAGCCAGGCCCAACCAACGTAGGAGCGTACGCTAGCAATACTTTCCCTTTCCCTCGTCTTCGTATAATATTTCTACGCGCTACGGCCAAATTTATTCCAGATCCAGCAAGCCTCCATTGAGTCGCACCCATTTATGCGTGGTGATCTGTGGCAGCAGGTATGGACAGCTTGAGCTACTTTCTTTATCAGCGACATTAACGGTCGCAGCTTCATGAATCACTTTGACATCTTGTTGTGTTGTGGCATGTTTTGAGTAGACCTTGTCGAAGACTCAAGATGAGTAGCAGCATCGGATAAACGGTAACGGCACCGAACTTATGAAGCAATTGTGAATAAAAAGTTGTTGAGAAAAAGCAGTCGAACTACATTCTGATGATGGCGAGAAAACACGTAGATTTCGAAAGTCTACCATACGCACGCCCCAGAACACGGTGGACTGGCCGGATGTATGCCAAAAGGACAGGATCTTTGTGACGAAAAAATATATTGCGATGGGTATACGGATCTTTTGGGGCTGAATAAAACTCACGAGCAGTACCAGTTCTTGCTCAGACAATACAGCACCAACTTCGTGTCGGGACATTTAAAAAGGTTATCGCTGTAGAAAATACTTTGAAAACTACCAGAAAGTACAGGTCTAGGAGTGCTACCGACTAACTAATTGGCAAGTATGTGTTTAAGTCACGTTTAATCGTTCGAACACAGCATAATTTTCAAAATACAGGTGTTTTCAGGCGACAACGGAATTACAACTATTTAAGTTTTCGGAACAACAACGAAGGATAGAAAACTGCAATCAATGTGAGGGCAGAATTATATAACACTGCATAGCATAACATTGCATATAACACTGCCTGACGTCCAAGAACCACGTCTGTTGTCTTAGACTGTTAAAAAGAGGTCGGTATTAAGGACGGTTAGAGAAAAAATGGCGTAATTAATAGGGCTGCATTACCGAACCTTGCAAATTCTCATAAACCACGCGGAAAAG